CTGGCCAACATTCTTAGAGAAAAAGTATTACATTATTTACATAGAATTATCTTTGTGAAAGGTTTTATAGTCTGTGCCACTTTGATTTTATAGAATTAAAATGAGTGCATAAAACTAAAAGCAGGAGAAACACATCTTTTAAATTTGTTATGTTGTCAAAAACACCTCAATCAGTTGGGCATGGTGGCATACATCTATAACCCCAGCACTCAGGAGGCTGAGGCAGGAGGATCGCTAATGAGTTTGAAGCCAGTCTGGGCTACCATACATAGTAAGTTCAAAACCAGACTAAACTACATAGCAACACCCTATCTCAAAAAATCAAACCAAAGCCGGGCGTGGTGGCACACACCTGTAACCCCAGCACTCTGGAGGCTGAGGCAGGAGGATTGTTGTGAGTTCGAGACCAACCTGGGCTATAAAGTGAGCTCACAGCTGGCCTGAACTGCACAGCGAGACTCTGTCTCAAAAAGACAAAAAAAAAAAATCAAACCAAACTAACAAAAAACCCTTATTACTCAACATGTAGGAAGCCAGTGGCATTTTTATATTATTATTTACTGTATGTGCCGGGAGTATTGTTTTTCCTTTGGTGTTATCTTCCTTTTTGAAGAAGACCATAATATCTTTTCTTCTAGTTATCTGATTTAAATTGCCTCCCAGAAGTTTGCCTAATACTGTTTGCTACTGCTAGATGCTCTATTTCATATAACCGTCTTTCCATGATGAGAAAAACCATGGCAACCAATTCATTAGAAAAATCAGGGGTATTTTTCTTGCTAAATGACACTAATGTTATTCAGTATGCTTTTCCTAAATAAAGACTGAAAACTCATCTCCAATGACCTAACTTCTGGTCATTTCCAGTAGGCTATAAAATAAATGGCTTTTATAAAAAGGTCTCTATGTCTGTGCCACTGACAGTCAGGGAAATGATTCCGGTGATGAGGGTACACCACGTGAACTGAAAGTGACAGCTAGTCAGACGCAGAGGCAGCACCAGAAGACACACTGGGGCTGAGGGACACCGCGCTTACAAGTTCAAGACCAGCCTGAGGAACACGGTGTGATCCCTTAAAAAAGAGTTAATCGTACAAAATCTAAAGGTCTGGCCAGGGGTGTGAGCACAAGCCTGTAATCCCAGCACTGGGAGACTGAGGCAGGCGGATCGCTGTGAGTTCGAAGCCAGCCTGGCCTACATAGGGAGATCCTGTCTCAAACGGACAAAAAAAAAAAAGAATTTTATTTTTAGAACACTATTTCCATCTGTTACTAGAGTAATGAAACACGTCCCTGTGTTTTCTTCAAGCTTATTGAATTTCCTTAAAAGAGTCATTTTCATTCTTTAAGAATTCTTCCATACTGACTGCTATCCGGCTGTTTCTAGAACTTTATTTTGGTGCTTGCTGGTGTGTGACGTGTGGGCGCTGAGGGGTTAGTTATTTACTACAGCCTTCCTAATCAGACCTGCTTCATGCTTGTCTCTCCAGAAACGCTAAGCCAGGTGCTTGTTTTCTCCGAGCCTGTAGTCATGCCTGCCGCTTCTACCAGACAGCACACAGGCCCGCGTTTGCCGGGAGTGTGCTGCCGGTGCTGCCTCTGCTTCAGCGACAGCGGGAAATGCCGGCCCCCGTTTGTCCCACATACACCGAGGGTATACTGTTTGGGATGAATGGGGCAAATCCGTTCCCACAAGCATCTGCCTAGGACCAAGGTAGGCCCAAAGCAACCTGCGGTCAGGCACTGTGGACGTACGCCCAGCTCTGGGTACAATCACCATGGATTTACTGGCTCCACGAGCCTATGCTACATGTACGACCATCAATTTGGCCAATCCGTGTCCTACGCTTGGCCAACAGCCCACTGAAATCAGCAGAGCTTTGAGGCAGGACCGACACCCACACTGCTACCGGCTGGCTATTGTTGGGGTGGATTCACGGCCCAAGGCTACTGCAGCCACCTGCAGCGGATGCTGGCTGGAATAAAATACTGATAGACTGGCATATGTCTTCCCCTGGCACCAGGACTGTTCCAGAGCCTCTACCACAGGTGGGCCTGCACTTAGGGACCATTAAGATCTGACCAGAGCCTGGCATGGTGGCGCACGCCCGTGATCCCAGCACTCAGGAGGCTGAGGCAGGAGAACTGCCATGAGTTTGAGGCCAGCCTGGGCTACATACTGAGTTGAAGGCGGCCTGAACTACGTAGTGAGACCCTGTCTCAAAACAAAAACAAAACAAAGCAAGATCTGACCAGCATTAGGTTTCACCAGTCTGGCACTAAGTTCCAGGGCGGAAGTCCTAAACTTACCCCCTTCCCCTGCCTCCGGGGCTTGGGTCTTGCCCACACTGTGCTCGGTTTAGGGTAGCGTTAATGCAGGCAGTTCCGTGTCCGTCTGGTCTGATGCTAAGCTGGGTCAAACCTGACTCCCACAGCTGCTGGATCCTGCAGGCTGCCTTGCCACAGCTAGCAGAGACGCAGGCCAAAACCCGAACCCCTCTCACCGGGCTTAGGTGTTTGCCTGGGGCTGTGGGAACTCTGGAGCTACCTGGGAACCGGGCAGTAGCTGTGCTGCTGCAGCTGGGGGACAGGCGTTAGAAATATACCCTTGGCCACCATGAGCGATCCGTGCTCGACCTCACCCGAGTTTCGCGGCCACAGAGACCTGCGCAGTCTCGGGACAGGCGTGGGTATGCCCTAGGACCACGCCGAGGCGGCAGTGACCGGGGAACACTCAAGTCTGTCCCGCTTGCGCAGAACTCTGCCTGACAGCGTAACTCCGGCAAGTCCACGGGCTCCATCTGTGGCCGCCGGCCTGCACACAGGACCTGTGGTCCTCATCCGCTCCTGGTTCTCCGTGCGGCATGGCCTGCTCTGAGCTCCAAGACAGAGCCCCATGCTGGCTTCTGTGCCCCCTGCTCTGACGCCGAGGTTGGCTGGGCGGGGGCAGAGGAGGTCCGTGGCCTGGGCAAAAGCAGCTCGAGTGGCTCAGTCCACAGCGTTTCCCTGCAGCGCGGCCTGTGGAGCTTGGCCAGGCCTCCCTGTGGCTGCCCGGCACCAGCTTCCAAGTCGAAGGCGTCTCTCCACACTGACTTGCTTGGAGTTGGACGAGTTGCAGGCAACGCCTTCCTTCCTGTCCTCTACAGCGTGTCTTTTCTTCTTTCCAAAGCGGGTACTGCGGTCTCTCACCCGGTTTCCCCAGCTGCTCAACCTGGTACGTCCTGTGGGAGGTGACGGCTAGAGGACCGTAGCCCCCGCTGTGCTCCACCCTTCACATAAACTACTCTTTTTCTGTTTTAATCTGCCCAGAAATTCTGCCAGATCCTCATTCTTGGCCTGTGTTCTTACAGGAGACTGACTTGGTCCCAGGTTTCAAAGGTGACTGGGATTCCATGGTGGCCAGTCGGGGTACTGTATCCTCCTTCGCAAATTGATGGGCATTCGAGCAAAGACAGAACAATCGGAACTGTTCTTGGGATTCTGACTGGATAGAGAGTGTGGGTTCTGAGGAATAACAGACATCTGGGGATGGGGTAAGCATCTCTGTTACCACACTGGGTGAGCTTTTCTGAGGGAGATTAGGGAGAGACAGAAAGGGAGTGGAAGAGGAAGAGAGAGAGAGAGGGAGAGGGAGAGAGAGAGAGAGAGAGAGAGAGAGAGAGAGAGAAACAGAGAAAGAGAGAGAGAGAGATTCACTTTATTAAGTCTTTGGATCCAGCCATACCTGCAACAGATCTCCTGAATTCAGCAATACAAACCAAGTTCTGGTTGCAGAATAATCCTGTCAGAATTACCTCCGTGTCTCCGGTACTTTATGGGAAACACATTACAAAATTTCTTTCTGTCCTACAGTCTTTCTGTAGGGGACAATGACTCTTAGCATATCATTTTAAGATAGAATAATTCTAGTGTTAATGCAAGTCTCAAAATGTGTCTTGAGAAACATCCCGGAGGGTTGTAAAGAGTTAACTTTGCAGTCCTGACTTAGCCCTGGAATGCTTCTCCAAAGACAAAGAACACCAGGGCCCAGATAACCACCTAT